AACTAGTAATTTTAAGATTCTGAGGTGCTGGAGATAGGGTGGTTTGTCAGGATAACAAGAGCTATGTCCTGTGGGTCTACGGACAGGGTTCAAGTCCACTTAATCAATATAGGAGACCTTGACACAAAACTGCTTTTCAAAAAGACTGGAAATTCAGGTCTTCTAGAATTAATATAGTTTATGGCACACCAGGACTTAATGTTGGTTGTGACTCTGTAATGATCCCTTGAGCAGCATTTAGAGGCCTGATTGTAATGGAGGGACAGGCATTTCTGCCGCTTTTAAATCGGGGTTGTCTCCTTCGTTGCTGGAATAGAGCTGGTTAAACCCGAGGAACCAACATTTACTTCTGGTATTCTAGCAGTCATGGTTTGGAGTATTTGGGATGCAGTCCCCCATGATGTAAATTCAGTTTTGTGAGTTAATATCTCCTAAGAACTGGAAAATCTGTATACTATGGATTCTACTGCCATCATGTCTACACTTCCATATCACAGTTTAGCAGTGGAGTGCTCCTCTACACAGGAAATAGTGTTTACAAGCTCCACAGAATTAACTTGGAGTATATTCAAAACATAAACATTAAATGTTCAAAGTGCAAAACTTCAAGAAGATACTAAAGGAACCACAGCTCTCGGAGTTAGGCAAATCTGTGTTTGATAGTAACATGACAAGCACTAAGGGTGCATACATTTACAAGGATATTTCAAAGCACAGTCCCAATTCCAATGCTCTGCACATGCTCAGCCAGCAGAATGAACATACTCAAGAGTCTGCCAGCTGGCCCAGAGAATTGCAAAGACCATGCAAGACTCTTAGGATCGTGTAGAAATAAAATGGTGCACACAGGATAATTAGGACCACACAGGATAATGCAAAACCAGGCAAACTCTGCTTCGGGCCACTTACTCCCACCCAGCCTTGGGAGGACCCTCCACACTGGTTGCCATGGCTCAACTAGGCACTTCTCCCAGGCTCAGGATGGTAGCCCCAAGCTCACCATGTAGTGGTCTTCCAGCTCCTCTAGGCTCAGCTCCCTGCATCAGCACTCACAGCACAGCACACAAGACCACCAGAACAGTTTCTCTGCAAAGCTAAGCCTGAAGATGGCAGCAGGAAGGACCAAGCACAACTTCTGAGTGGCAGATTGCCTGGAGGACTGATTGCCTGGTGAAGCCTGAGTGACAAGAGCTACTCTAGTAAGACACAGCCCATTGGTTCCTGATCCTGCCTTCCAGATATGGACAGATATGCATTTCAATAGTATTTGCCTCTGGCTGGAACAGCAGACCCTGCTCTCTCCCAGATCTCCATAGGAGCTTCCTCTTCTTTGTTCTGAACACAAAGGAGCTAGCAAACTTTTACAGCCCTGTGTACTATGTATAGTGCAGTGATTTTCTGCCACACAGGTGAAAGAGCAGTCAAAATATTAACAACTAAAGAGTGATTTCGGGGGGAGGGCACGGGAGGAGGGGAGGGAAAGGGAGAGGGACTTGGAACTGACTTGTGAAGCAACCTTGTTTCTTATCTAAATTTAAAATGGAAAATAAAAAAAAATATTAATAAAAAAAAGAGTGATTTCATCAAGCAATAGGAGAGGTTTGCTATGTGGCTTCACACTTAGGTCAGGTGATCTGAGCTTGCTTTTTATCTAGTTGCAATAGGAATTTCAGACAATAAGGAAATAAAATCAGGAACTAGATCACAAGCAACATAATGGTACTTTTGCCCATTAGAAAGCTGGATGATGGCTCCATTGCTTTAGGAGTTACATTCCTGAAATTCAGAGCAAACTGTAGACAAATGAATAGTAATACAGAGTAGCATTCATGGAATGTTGAATACTTAGAGAATAATAGAGCAAAGATGTGTTTAGGATCACTATTGCTAGCCAGCACAATTTCCTCAGTGGAGAATTAAAAAAACAATTAAAAAAAAAACACTACTGCATTATTCAGGGTTCTCTACTCTGCCCATACTTTTGTTTTATATTTACCATAAAGTGAAATCATGTGTGATTGTTTATCTAATATGCTTATTACCCCCATCAAGACCTTTACATTTTGGGGCTGGAGAGATGGCACAGACGTGAAGAGCACTGGCTGCTCTTCCAAGGGTCCTGAGTTCAATTCACAGCAACCACCTGATGACTCACAACCATCTATAATAGGATCTGGTGCCCTCTACTGGGTAGCAGGTGCACATGCAGGCAGAACACTGTATACATAATAAATAAATAAAATCTTTTTTTTTTTTTAAGTTGAAACAGGCTTTATGGCTGTGTGTTCCAGAGACTAGGAATTTGTATTAGAGTACACCATCTCTGAGGTGGTACAGTCATTTTAGAATTTTGGAGGTGTCACATAGAGGACAGCAAGGCCATTGCCCTGGAGAGCAACAGAGTGTAATCAAAGCTACTTAAGTCAACATAAGAGAGTTTGTCTCAGAAAGATTTTTTTCTAACAGGATGGAAACGCAGCTGTCATAGAATTACTATGCCTTCCCAGGGAGAAACCACTTCACACACTTGGGAGGTTAACAAAGAAAAATCTCTTTAATGATGACATGCATCCATCTCTAGCAAAAATATGTCCTAGAATAAATTTTAGGTACACCAGTGATTTGGACCTAAATTCACAGAGATCTGTCTGCCTCTGCCTCTGCCTCCGAAGTACTCTGATTTAAGATTCTTAAGAAGAATAGTATCTTTTATAATACTGCAGCGGGGAATGGAAGGAATAGGAGACTTTATGAAGTAGCATGGAAGCATCATACGATGGGACAAATTCAGGAGGGGGCTACTCAAATGACTCTATAAAGGGGAACACAGAGTATCTCAAGAACATTGCTTGTAAGGTGTTGGGGCACACACCTTTCATCCCAGCACTCTAGAGGCAGAGGAAAGTAGATCTCTGTGAGTTCAAGACCAGCCTGGTCTACAAGAGTGAGTTCCAGGACAGCCTCCAAAGCCACAGAGAAATCTTGTCTCAAAAAACAAACAAACAAACAAAAATTACTGACTAACCCACAGTTACCTAGGGACTGATAACCATAGCTCCATATGGTGAGAAACATTGGGTTCTCAGGATCTGAAGCAAACACTACACAAAGGTCCTGGCCCCAGACCATTACCAGCCCTCCCAAGCAAATTCCTAGTTTCAGAAAAAGAGCTCTGCTTTATTGTCAATACACCAGGCCCATAGGGAACCCTCCTAAGACCTAGGCCTCAGGCTGTTACTAGCTATTGCAAAAAGGTTCATGTTCCCTGCCTGAGGGCCTAAATGAAAGCTTGCTTAATCATGCAAGTCCTAAACACAACAGTGTTTTACTTTTCAAATGTTTGTCCCCTGGTGTTCTATTGCCCACCTGGCAGAACTATGCTTTCCTCAAGAAGAAAACTGGAACTTTATGGCCCACCAGGCCTTAAGGTTGCTTATGCCCTGTAATGCTTCCTTGTGCAGCTTGATAAAGGACTGTTCTTTGACATGGATGTGGGCCTAGTGAGTGCTTGTAAATCAGGGGAGACTTCTTTGTTATGGTTTGGAGCCAAATGTCACAAACCTAGTGCACAAATGTATATCCTCGCATCCTAATTTCTAACAGGCCTGTTTGCATACACTTACCTTTTGAGTGTCTTAGAGGCAGTCCTCCCTCAGTTAAATTCTACTTTGTGAGACTATTGTCTAAGTATTGGCAAATCCCTTATATCAACAATTCTACTCTTCCACATCATGGCATGTAAGTGGAGTGCAACCAAACACATGAGGTGCCTTTTACGACATCCACAATAATGGATGTTTACATGTAATTTAAAATGCAAAGTGCTGAATGTTTAGAAGATAAAGTGTTGAATGTCTAGAAGACACTGTAGAAAATAGGCCTCTCTAGCTCCGCAACCTATCCATGGCTGCACCAAAAGCATGTTGATGTTGACTAGAAACATGTTTGCCAACACAGCTACCTGCTCCCAATGCTCTGAGCAGACTCAGAGCACAAAGCAAAGTTATTCAGAGGCCTGGCCTTAGTTCCCGGGAGTTTCAAGGACCACATGGGACCTCACAGGCTAGGGAATCTGGCTGAAGATTCCCACTCAGGTCGGGGGAGGACTTACCACACTGGCTTCCGCAGCTCACAATCTGCTACTCTCCATCTTGGGACAACAGCCCCTCACTCACCAAGTCATTGCCGCCCATCTAGGCAAAGTTCACCACTCAGCTTGCTGTAGCAGAATCGCCTCACAGCACACACAAAACAGGTACCAGCTCCTCTTCAGAGACAAGCCTGAAACTAGCACAAGGAAGGGCCCGGCACCTCTTGTGACTGACAGGTCACCTGGAGGGACTGATTGGCTAGTGAGGCATGAGTGACAGGAGCACCTCCCATAGGGTTACGCAGTTCTTAAAGACACAGCACAATGATTCCTGGCCTGGCCTACCACCACAGACAAAAATACATTTCAATAGAACTCGCCCCAGGCTCAAGTGTAGCAAACCCTGCAGTCTTCCAAGATCAGCAGAGATATCCATCTCAGTAGAACTTGCCCTGGCTCTGAGAGCAGACCCTGCTATCTTCCTGTACTCCCTTCTTACTCCCGGGCACGAACCTACAAAGGCTCCCTCTATTATGGTTTCTTTTCTTGCTCTTCTTTATTCATCCCCCAACTCAATCTTCCTGCTCCCTCATGTCCTCCTATCCCCTCCACTTCCCCCCTACTCCCTCTCTCCACCCACCATGCTGTCAATTAGCTCAGGAGATCTTGTCTCTTTACTCCTCTTAGGGTCCTCCTAGTTTTCTAGCTTCTACAGAGGTATGGACTGTAGGCTGGTAATCCTTTGATCTATGTCTAAAATCCAGATATGAGTGAGTATGTATCATGTTTGTCACTTTGTGAATGGGTTGCCTTACTCAGGATGGTTTCTTCTAGTTCCATCTGTTCGCCTGTGAATTTCAGGATTCCATTGTTTTTCTCAGCTGAGTAGTGCTCCACTGTGTAAATGTACCACAGTTTCTCCATCCATTCTTCAGCTGAGAGCCATCTAAGCTGATTCCAGGTTCTTCCTATTACAAATAATGCTGCTATGAACATGGTTAAACAGACGTTGGATTCAGTTTTTCCTGGTGTGAAAGAGACTGCTAGCTCTCTCCAGCACCATATGGTCACACTCCGTAGCCTCTGGATCAGTGGTTTTCCTAATTATGTGACCCTTCAATGCAGTTCCTTTTGTTCTGGTGACCCCTGAGATAAGAATGTTTGTAAGTATTTCTGCTGTTATGTTGTGATCATGTTCAGAAGTGGATTTGTTGACTGACTATGCTGCAGAATAGGGAACACTCCACAGGAACAATTCTGGACTCCCTAAGCAAAGTCCCCATGCTTTCCTTGTTAGGATCAGAATTGCTTTGGAAATTATACCCATGGTCTCCTTGTCACCTGAGGTAAGAAATATATCTCATTTTATTTTTCTGTCTTGGTTGTTGTGATGTCTGTTCTAGATAGTCAAACTGACTACCTCTGGAATTACCTAAAACTCAATGGGGTAGGACTTTTTTGTTTGTTGTTTGCTTCTTTTGGGGGATTTTCTCAGTAGATAAGGAGCCAGAATTGGAACTCGGTTTGTAGACGAGACTATCATGAACTCAAAGAGATCCATCTGCCTCTGCCTCTCAAGTGCTGGGATTTAAGGCATCTGTCACCACCTCCCAGCAGGCATTTTCTTATTAAAGGTTTTTAAATGGGAACACATGTCTTTAATCTAGATCTTTGGAGGTGATAAAAACACCTTTACCAGCTTGGTATTGGTGCAGATCTTTAATCCCAGTGCTCAGGAGACTGAAGCAGACCTGAGCTGGAGATCTGCCTGGTCTACAGACTATGATGCCGGGCTACACAGAAAAATGCTGTCTCCAAAAAAAATTTTTTTAAATCATGAGAAAAAAATCCATTTATAATATGGGTTACACACTTTGGCGGCTGTGTACATACATAAGGGATACTGAAGGGGGAAGCTCTCTCTCTTTGCCTGTTCACCCTAGCTCTGGCTACTGAGTTTATTACTTTACTAGCATTAGAACCCATTTCTTTCAAATAAGCTTGTATACTAAAGATCAAGACAGGATTTCTCGGTGGCCTTGGAGCCTGTCCTGGAACTAGCTCTTGTAGACAAAGCTGGTCTTGAACTTACAGCAATCTGTCTGTCTCTGCCTCCCATAGTGCTGAATTAAAGGCTTGCATTGTCACTGCCCAACACAAACATCTTTTTTTTCTACTTTTTTTTTTTTTGGTTTTTCAAGACAGGGTTTCTCTGTATTGTTTTGGAGGCTGTCCTGGAAATTGCTCTGTAGACCACTCTGATCTCAAACTCACAGATATCTGCCTGCCTCTACCTCCCAGTGCTAGGATTAAAGGCATGCTACAGCACTGCCCAGTATAAACATATTTTCGTCCTAAAAAGTTCTCTTTATTTTTTAATATCCTGGGCACCCTTCCATCTGTTGAATAGGAGAATCATTCCTGTCTGTATTGAGTAAAGATCTGTGCAAGCTCGGCACATGGTGTGGAAGAGGAAGAAGAGGATGAACATGTGAACTGCAGGAAGAGAGCTGGGTCATCTCCTGCAGACGGGGTGAGTGATACTGAAATTTGGGTCTCTGCCGATATCCAAAGGGTATGGGTCTAGAGTAAAAGCCAGGGCCAGGGACCCCTGTGCTGTGTTTTTAAGCACACTCTAACCCTTAAGGAAGTGCTCTTGTCATTCAAGCCTCACTAGCCAATCAAGAACACCAGGTCAACCCACTAGTCACAAGTCTTGCAGGATACTTCCTGGAGCCATGCTTGCAGGCTTGGTTTTACAGAAGGACAGGCACCAGTGGATTCATTGCTGCACTGTGAGTGCTGCTGTAGGGGCTGTGAGAGGAGCATAGTGAGTGGGGGATGCTATCCCAAGATGAGGAGGAGGGGATAGGGAGGCATGGGAGATGGTGTGGCAGGCCATTCTGGAGGCTAGGTAGGGACCTGTTGTCCCATGTGGTCCTAGCAACTCCTCAGATCCTGTGTGTTGGCCTATGAATACTCTAACCCTTAAGGAAGTGCTCTTGTCACTCAGGCCTCACTAGCCAATCAGGGGAACCAGGCCAACCCCCCAGTCACAGGTCTTGCAGGACACTCCCTGGGAACCTGCAGAGACATTCAATGTTCTGTGAGGTTCCATATGGCCCTAGCAACTCCCCAGACCTGGTGCTGGCTTCTGAATACTTCAGTCTGTGGGTTCAATCTGTGGAAACCATTTCTATCAGGGAGCTCTGTGTAGAAACATCTTTGTAGTCAACACTGATGTGGTTTTGGTGCATGTGGAAGGCAAGTTGCCAGACTTAGAGATGGCTAGTTTCTCTAGTATTTTCTAGAAGTTTTGAACTTCACATTTAACATTTAGGTATAAGATCCATTTGGAGTTAATTTTGTATATGCTGTAAATGACATTCTTTCTATTTCATTTTTTATTTTTATTTTTTTTTGAGATAGGATTTCTCTGTATAGCTTTAGAGCCTGACATGGAACTTGTTCTATAGAGCAGGCTAGTTGCAAACTCTTAGAGATCTGCCTGCCTATAACTCCCGAGTGCTGGGTTAAAAGCATGAGGCACTAAATAAGTTCATAAATGGAATTCTTGTGTTGAATCTCACTCCACTACTAAGCTGTAATGTGGAGGACTAGAATTGTTGATATAAAGGATTTACCAATTATTAGGGAATGGTAAGTTCTACAAAATAGAATTAGTCTGAAGAAGTAGCCTCTAAAAATAACCCAAAGATAAGTAGCATGCAAAGTAGGCCTGGTAGATATTAGGATGCTAAAACATACACTTGTTCTCCATGATTGTCCAGATTTTTTACTCCAAACCACGACAAAGGAGAAACCCCTGATGTGCAAACAGTCCCCAGGCCCATCCCCATATCACAGAACAGGGCTTTTACAAGCTGCTCAAAGGGGCATGACAGGTTCACAGTAAACATTAGGGCATAGTGTGCCATAAAGGTCAAGTTTTCTTCTAGAGAAAAATCATAGTTCTGTCAGAAGGTCAAGATGACACTAGGTGAGAACTGTTTGGAAAGGAAAACACTGTTGTATTGAGGATTTAACTGAGCAAATGATACTTTCTGTTTAGGTCTTTATTCATGGAGAAGGAACATGGCTCCTTCTCAAACCCAGGAGCATGCTTGGCAGAGTCAGTAATAGCCTGGGGCCTAGCCCTAGATGTTTTCCATTAGGCTCTGAGGTATCCAGAATAAAATAGAGCTCCTCATTTAAAACTAAAAAGATGCTTGAGAGAGAATGTAGTGGTCTGAAGCCAGGGCCTTTGTGGAAAGGTTGCTTCAGACCCTGAAAACACAACTGTTCCCACCACATGAAGCTGTAGTTATCAGTCCCACAGCCACTGTGGGCTTAGTCAGTAATGTTCTTGGGATACCCTGTGTTCCCCTTGTGCTGCATTGTATGAGTAGCCTTCTTCTGAGTTTGTCCCATCATATGACAATTTCTGCTGACTTCCTAGAAGATTCCTATTTTCTTCCATTTCCTCCTAGAAGTAGTATACAAGAAGCTATTCCTCTTAAGAAGGTTGCCCAGCTTTTATCATTTCTTTGTTCTGTTTTTCCTATCTTGATCATCTTATGGTAACTCTACCTAAGAACCTGTCAGTAAAATATGACATGCTGTTTCATGTTACTCATGTACTAAGAAATAATTATGGTAATATCTTTTCTGCTGATGTCTTTCATTTGCCTAACTGGCCCGACTTGCAATTTCCTGTCACTATTTAAATTCTTTAAAGTATAAACTGGAGTCTGACCATAAAAGAAAATAAAGATGATAGCATACATGGAATGTGTTTTAGGAGCCAGGTGGTGGTGGTGCATAGCTTTACTCTAAGCACTCAGCAATCATAGGCAGGCAGATCACTGTGTTAGAGACCAACCTGGTCTGCAGAGCTAGTTCCTGGATAACTAGGGTGACACAGAGAAGCCCTGTCTCAAAAAAAAAAAACAGAGCCAAAAACCAAAAAAAAAAAATGTTTTAGGCTCTCTCCTCTTTGAGCATTTGCCAGAGATGGATGCATGATATCATTACAAAGATTTTTCTTTATTAATCTTTTAAGTGTGTGGAGTTATTTCTCATTGGAAATGCATATTAATTCTAGAACAGCTGCACTTCCAGCCTCTTAGTAAAATGTTTCTGAGACAAAGTCTCATGTTGATACAGGTGGCCTTGATCCCAGTTTGTTGCTTTCCATGGTAATGACCTCACTGTCTTCTTGATTACCCCATTCTTAAGTGACTGTCTGATGTTAGAGTTTTGATTTCATCTATTTGATTCATGGAGTTGACTTTCCATTGCAGCCACAGGAAAAGGATTTGCACATGGAGGATGGTTTCTGCCTCCAGACCAGTGTAGAAAGTATAGTTTGAGTTCACTGCATGGGGAAACAGGATAGAAAATCAATTGCTTGAGTCACCATCATGAAAAAGGACCTGAATGTGGCAATGAGATAGTTTAAATGTAATTGGCCCTATAATCTCATAGGGAGTGGCAATATTAGAAGGCATGGTTTTGTTATAGTGAGTTTGTCATTTTTGGAAGAAGTGTATCATCACTGGTGATGGACTTTGGGGTTTCCTATGCCCTGGATACTGCCAAGCGTATCAGTCAACTTCCTGTGGCATGCATATCAAGATGTAGCCAGCACCACATTATCCTTTACAGCTTACTCTCCCCTATGATGACAATGGACTGAATCTCTGACTCTGTAAGTATGCCACCCCAATTAAATGTTTTTTTGTAAGCATTGTGGCAGTCATGGTGTTTATTCAAAGCAATAAAAACCCTAGCTAGGACAGGAAGATTCAGTGATTTTCTTCTTTAAATTTCCAGGTATTAATTCATGTCATGTGAATGAAGACAGACCAGACTTGTGGGTTCACAATTTGGGAAGGTTATATTGAGCTCAGGCATGCCCCCAGGCTATGTGGTTGAGAATTGCTTTGCATACAGCTAATCCTGCCTCTGCTACCCAGTGCTGGGAGGACACTGCTAAAATTCCTCTAAGACTAGGCTTTGAGTGGTCATTGAGATGAAAATATAGACCATTTCATGATTGTTTACCAATCCCTCTGGCTTGTATCAGGGACTGAAAATGAAGAAAGGTATGTGAAAGTATTGAGTTAATTTACCAACTTTGAAGCTGACTCCATCTTTCAGTGTTGGCATTACAAGCATGTGCCACTGTGCTCCACCATTGAACACTTTTGTTTGGAACCAGGGAGCAATCTCAGGACCTCATACTTGTATAGAAATCAACTGAGTCACCTTCCTGGCCCTAGAGCCCTTTATAGTGGCCTACTTAAATAATGAAAGGTTTCAAACTGGGACCTTTCCTTCTCCACTAAATCAATTCTCCCAAGAGATATGGAGCAATGGCAACTGTCTCATTCTGATATCTTGGACTAAACTTAGAAGACTTCCTTAGTTCTGTCCCCTATTAAGAGCACAGCTTCAAACCAAGCATTGCATTTATGATACGGGCTGGTATTTCCAAGTCATGGAATAACCTATGTTTTCTCTCATAATTTTAATATTGCATGACTAAAGAACACTAGAAGCATACTTGTAAGCAACACAAGGTCTGGATAACTAGTCTACTACTGAAGTTGGGAAGGATGCTCCAAGGGGAGTCAGGGGCATCTCAGAAGGATACCAGGTTGCAGGGGCTGCCTTAGTCAGTAAGGTAATTTCCCTGTAGCCTAAGGACCTACGTTTGGTATCCCCAACATTCACAGAAGAAGTAAAGTATAGTAGTATGCACCTGTAATCCCAGCACTGGGGAAACAGAGGCAGATCATCCTCAGGTTTGAGGACCAGCAGGTCTAGTCAGTCTAGTCACATTCACAAGCTCTTGTTCAGTAAAAGATTCTATCTCAGATTACAAGGTGGGGAGTGATAGAGCAAGACAAGACACTTGGCACCAACTCTAGTTTGTAGACACATAGACACATATGCATGAAACACACAAACATACACAAGACAATCTTTTCAAAAGGAATGAAATAAGGAACCTGGTATCAGATTTGGGATTGCCTTAGGAAGCTATAGGATAGGTACAACTGGGGGACAATGACAGCTCAGTGATTAGAGAGCCCAGTGAATTCCACTTTTCATAAGTGGAGGCAAACATCAAGCTAACTCTGTAATTGGTAGAGAAGCAGCTGTCACTCATTTTAGCTCAAGGACAGACATGTTTATAGATGGCAAATGATCTTGTTTTTACCATCTCAGAATGGTCTTGCCTAAGGTTGCTTTTTTATGAGATTATGAGTATCCAGTAAGGCATTGTAGGCCAACCATGATCATCAGGCTAGCTTGTTGAAATGAGGACTCTTAGATCTAAACTCCAGGCCAACCCCAAGATGCCAACTGTTGCTTTGATCTTTTTCATGGATGGCGCCTGCTTCTGCATTCACAGGAAGTTGCCTTATTGTTATATTTAGGTAAGGTTGAGGAGTTCTCCTGAAAATCACTCTGCCTCAGCCTTGGTTCCTCTGAGGGGCACCTCCAAATGTGAGATCACTTTGTGACAGTTACCCCCAGTCCTCTATGCTGCTTAGTTTCAGTGAGCCCCCCAGATCATGTAGAATAATCTACCATGCCAACAATTTCCCTGTATCTTCCCTTAAAAAGAATAGCCCCTTGTTGAGGTTTGTAATTTCCTCCTTGACTGATTTTTTTTACTATTTCATGACTCATTCCCACAAATAAGGGTTTGGTGTTGAAGGGGAAGCTTCAGGGTGAACTAAAGCTGACATCCTGACCTGGGAGCAGCCAAAGCTCTTTCTGTGACTTTCTCTGGGTGATAGTCTCCTGCCTCAGGGTGGCATTGTGAAGCCATTTCTTTAACAGAGTACTAGATTGTAATGGCTATTTATTTTTCTGAGTATTTTTAAATACAGATTCTTTTTGTCTCTTAAATGCCAAAATTAAAAATGAAAAGCCAGGCATGGAAGTACATGGATGAAGTTGGAGTCACTTAAGAGACTATGGACAAAGAATGACTTGGACCCAGGAGATTTAGGCCAGCCTAGGAAACATAGCTATCAGGAGGTGTTGTAGGAGGAGTGAGGGGGATTTCCAGCATAATTGGTTGTCTTTCTCAAAAGTGTTTTGCTTTATTTTAGCAAAGCACACCAATAACTTGAGTCAGGAGACATGAGCTGGAAGCCAACTTAATCTCTTGATCTTGGGGTCAGAGCTTGCTGTGGGGAGGTAGGCAGCCATTTCTCTTTATCCTTTGTGCCTCTGGTGACCAAAACATTCTTTTTTCCAAGGTGCATATCTGGAACCATGTTGTGTAGGCATAGCCTCAGAGGCCTGTGTCTCTCCATGCTCTGTTGAAGAGGAGGATCTATAGATAGAGGAAGTATGCAGTAAGTCTATGATCCTTATAAGGTCACTAAAACAGGAGAACCTATGAGCAGGCAACACTCATTGGGATTGAGATTATTGCAGAGGAGGTAAAACCTGAAACTCAGGTCCAATTCTAGTACATAAACAAGGATCTTGGCAACAGGACCCAGCAAGTCTGCTCATGCACTCGCTATCATTCCCACATTTATTGGACAGAGAGACATGATGTAACTGCAAGGGTAATCATTTATTGAACAGGGACAGGAAGACATTCATGGAGAATTGTCATGGGTGTGACTAAGAGACATTTAAAAGAAATCCTTTGATTCTGGATGAGTCATCCTAGATAATCAGGGAAGATGCTGGGGATGCAGGGTTTATGCTTTCCTGGGGAGCATCGATGGCAATCAGATCACAGGACTTGTCACAGAACAGAGTGTGGACAGGAAGGGATGATGTTAGAGTCCAGGTTAGGAGTCCACACTCAACCCTGAAGAAGCCAGGAAGAAAGAATGCAGACACTCATTAAGCACTGCTAGAGCTGACTTCAGGACATAGAGCCATTCTGTCAACCAGAGCAAAGTGTGAAGACACAGAACTTCCCTGGCCACCAAACTGATGTTACTGACCAGAATACAGGACAAAAGGCATTAAATAAATAACATTTTCCTTATTGATACCATATGGAAAATAACAATAATGAAAGATTCGAGGCTTATTCAGAATCTTTGGCATAAGAAACTCTGTTGTGGGATATTTGTACATTGTGCAAAGGTGTGTCACTGTGATTGGTTTAAGAAAGAGATGAATGGCAAGTTAATGAGCAGGAAAATTAGGTGGGACTTACAGGCAGAGGGAGAGAGGGAGAGAGAGAGAGAGAGAGAGAGAGAGAGAGAGAGAGAGAGAGAGAGAGAGAGAGAGAGAGAGAGAGAACTCAGGGAAGAGGAAAGGGCAGGGTTGGCAGCCAGAGGAAGATGGACAAGAGATAACACCATGTAAATGTAGATTAATGTAAATGGGTTAATTTACTGTCATGATTATTAATATCAAGTCTGTGTCATTATTTGGGAGGTGACTGGTGAAACAGAGAAGGACTCAGTACAAAGCTCTGAAGAAATTACAGTAAATTGAGGCTTAATGATGAAAGCATTTTTAAAGGTTTTCACATATCATCAGAATGAAGCCTTGGAATGAATGGGAAAGAGGATAGATGAAGGAAATCATGGTACTCTCCAGGCTGGATGAGAAATCCAGATTGTGATGCTCCATTCCCATGTAAGGAGTAAGGATGTACAGACCTCACAGGAAGAGTGGGAGTGAGGTGGACCCAGCCACTGGTGAACATCTACACTCACATTCTTAATGACTATTGATGCTTTGCTGAGCACTTTACACACAAAAGTACAGCATCTATGTCCATCCAAATCCTTGTTTCCTTACTTAAACACTTGGGTCACTTACTGAAAAGCTCATCACAGGACTAAATCATAAACCCAGAAATTTGGAAACCAAATTTCAATCTCTCCTCAAAGCTTCCTTATTAATTATTTTTATTATAATTTTAGGGCACAATACTAATGCTTTTGAGAGAACCTCATTTGTGCTCACACGCTCTTCATTCTCACTGGAGATTACCCACCTGGAGGCTCAAGCCATTCTTCCAACTTGGGCCTGGAGACAGTGATCTGCAGGGTATGAATAAGAATACATTCAGGTACCAGGTCCAATTTATTTCCGCAAGAGATACTACATGCTTCTCTAGGGGCAACATGTTTCTAGTTGCTTCTTGGTATGTTCTTTCCATGATATAAAATCAGGCAATAAACTGTGTGAGTCCTGGCTTACCAGCCTCAGTTAGGTCTAATATATTTTCCTTAACAATTCCATGCTTCTGGCATAGATCCCCAAACTTTTTCTTGATGTTTGAACTCAACTTTGGTTTCCGGCCTGTGAAAAATAATGGTGACTGTAGTGATTGCATCTTGTGTATTGACCACATTCACAGAGCTGAATAATGAATGGGACAGGGCCCCTCCAGAAGGATGAGAAAATGATTGACAACATGATTATCAGGCATGGACATGACCTGCCATGAATTTGGCATCCATAGGATATCTTACTGGCATAGTGAGGGATTTAAGAGACCTCCACCCCCACCACTGTGCCTGGGGGATGACAGAGGTGACCATTTGTCTGCAGTAGATAAGGAAAAAAGAGGCAGTTCAGGGCCAGGCTGGAAAAACCATGTTAAACCTAGGGTTTCTTTCTTCTCTTCTTCTCCCATCCATGACCAGTGTCTGTGGGAAAATACTCTACCGTAGAGCTTCATCAACTGGAATGTTTCCCCATTCTTGATATGCCTGAGATGAGTTATAATATAATCAGCATAGTCTGTATCAAGTACAGTAAATCTATTATATTCGTTATCTGTGGAAGAAATGGTACACAACTGAGAAATTCTTTGGTTCACAGAAAATAATTGAAACCTTTTACCTATTCTATATCACGGGTAAAAATTAAAATGTATATTCTAATAGAGATTGGTGAAAATGTCTGGTGCTTTCTATCTATACTTCTTTGGACATCGTGAGGTAACCACTAGTAAACAATTAGTCACAGCAGCCACTCTCCTCTCTAAAGCCTGTCTACTTTAATCAGCAGCTTCCATTGATCTCTATCTGTCTTTAATAAGTTCACTGTATTATATACCTGCTGCTGCATCCTGAGTGATATGAACTGGTGGCATCCACTGGGGCAGAATCAGACAGACGGAAGGAGATGAGAAACCATCTTACCTTACTTGTCCCACCTGCCCAAGACTGGGATGCTAGTTATTAGATGGCTCCTGTTGAATTAGCTAAATAAACAATGATCAGGAAGCAACTGAGAGTCTGAAGAGGGTTGGGGTTGTGGTTCAGTTGTGGAGAGTTTGATTAGTATGTATAAGACATTGATTTCAATTCCCAACAATAAGGCAAATGTTCTCACACAGACACACCCACCCACAATAGAGACATTAGGGTTTACTAAGTTCCTTATGGATAGATATGTAGACTTTTTGTATACTTACATATGATATATACACCATCTTCTTCTGTTTTGTCACATACTAAATACAGCTCTGTGCACTCTCCGTCGACACTGTGAAATACAGTCAGCTGGTTCTTAAGGATACTGCTATGGCTGGCCCCTTAGCCTCTGTTCTACCCAAATCTCCCATTTCTAATTCCATTTAACTTTTGAATGTTTTTGTAAAATGAGCAAAGTCATTCATTTGTATTATTTCACTTATACTTGATACTTTACTAATCACATATTTGCTTATCATTTAGAAAAAGAATGACAATCACTTCAAATCACTGTCACAACTGTCACTACTTCCCATTGTCACTCACTTGTGCAGATTATCTCCCAAATGTCCACCATCTGCATCAAATTAGTGCTTTGAAATGTTGCCCAATATACCTCTCCAATCCACAGAGGAGAATTAATACCCCCTTTAATGCAGTTGAAGAAGTGGAATTTCGTGGCTAACAACTAGTCAGAAATATTTAACTCATGATAATCTCCATTTAAGCTGTGCTATACATCTCATTCATTATGGTTTCAGAAATGCCTCTGACCTTTGCTTATTAAATCCCCAGTAAATTTTTTCCTGTCACCCAGTTTTGTAATCTTGGTTTAGTATCTCTCTCTCTCTCTCTCTCTCTCTCTCTCTCTCTCTCTCTCTCTCTCTCTCTCTCTCAGTGTGTGTATGTGTGTCTCTGTGTCTGTGTCTGTATGTGTACAAGTACATGCAATGAGGGGCATATGTTTCTTTGTGCATATGTGTGTCTGTGCTTGTGTGTGTGTCTGTATGTGTGTGTGCTTGTGTGTGTGTGTAGGCCTGAGACCATTACAGGTTTCCAATTCTTCTTTCTCAGATAAGAACACCTCACTTACATTGTATGTAATTTAAGAGCTAAGGAAGAGTTATCGAGGAGACGAATGTACTCTACAAAATCTCTCATGCTTCCATGTTCCTCTATCATTTCTCTTTTGTCAGAGGCCAAAAGAATGGAATGCCATTTTCCCTGAATCTGTAATAGATAAGTGAATTGTTAAGAGAGGAGGGGCAGGGACACTTCATGGACATGTTTCCACTAGAACTCTGACCCATGGGCCTGGGCATTAGCATACACAGGATTAGATCTCACATCAGTTGGCAAAATACATAAGATCCTGTCTGTCTCTCAGTGGGAGTGAGGGACTGCAGGCATTGTTAGATATGGATATCATGCGGCTGGTCTTGTTTCACAGTCTGAAGCCTCTATTTGTCTCACAGAGAGGAGCCACAACCCTCCCCTCAAAGGTCCCACTTGGCTTCAGAGTTCCCAGGAGCATCCTCTGGGTCAGACGTCCCCAAGCCCCACGAGTCTACCTTTTGTGGATTAAAGTTCTTTCCAATGAGACTAGTTTTTGCTTCTGCATGGACACAGACTAGGGTCAGCTCCAAACCCAGCACAACCAGAAGCAGCAGCAGCCTCATTTTGGATGGAATAGAATCGTCTCTCCGTCAGGACTGAGTCTTTCCTGGTGGTGGCTGCACTCCACTCCCCAGCTACTTTGTACTTATACATTTTCTGAGTTCAGTTTTTTTTAAATGGTGGATCTCCTCCTCCTTTTCTCACTCTCTGTGAAATGTTTCCTCACTTATTGATGTGAGGCCAAGAATTGCTCCTCCCCTCTTTAAAGGTGGCAGTCTCGTCTCCCATGGATTGATTTGGTAACCTTACATTTCTCAAAACATAATCTCAAGAAAAACAGTAGATGACTTAGAGAGCTGCCATTTGGAAACTGCCAGATGTAACTTTGGATCTTGCTTGGAATCAGAAAGCCAATTATGTGTGTGTGGGGGGGGTGGAGCTGAAATGGGAGACCAAGGGGGCAGAGCATCTTTGCTCTAAGTCTCCTGTGGAGTGTAGAAGTAGATATATTAATCATTTTTAAAATACATTTTTATTTTATTTTTCATGAATGCTAGGTTTGAATATGTGTCTGTTCACTGTTGTATGCCTGGTGCTGTGGAGGTCAGAAGAGGGAGTCAGATCCCTTGAAACATGTTCTTGAGGAGTATGCAGACCTCCAAGGACAAGCCTCAATTTCCCTCCAAGTACCAGCCTCAACTTCCCTTCAAGGCAGGATGCTAAAAGCAAGCATGTGGGCTGGCTAAAAGGATCTGAGGGTGAACGAATCAGCTCATAGATACATTCTACTCATGTCTCTTTATTTTTCAAAAAGTTCTTTCTGATCCCACAAGGTGTCCAGTTTATATACTGACACAATTAGCAGTTCTCTGGAAATAGCAAAGATACCAGACATGCATTTCTCAGAGCCTGAAAACAAATAAGATCTGACAATGTCTGTGTCTTATGTCTCAGAGAGGGCTTGACTTTTAAAACAAATATCTGGACAAAACTTAAGAGGCAGGAAGTGTTAATGGAGTCAGGGGATATGATTTCTAAAAGGGGAGATGGGTTTTAGTACATAAACTACATTTGTGTGGCTAGGTAAACCAGAAGTTTGTAATTGGTAAATGTAGACAAAGTGAAGCAAACATGGCAGTCCGTGCACTCTCTGAGCACCTTCTTCTGCTTCCTACTGTGGAGGCTGGGAACACAGTTTCACAGTAACCATGGCAACTGGCATAATCTATGGGAGGAAAATGGACCCTGGATCCACATTAGCATTTTTGACAGGTATTATCGCAATCACCCAGAACTACATAAAACAGAAAGGCTACTTGAAATCTTGAGGAAGCAGCTCTGGATTAAGCAGCAGAGCACTCATACTGCTGATGCCCTGATGAAAGGGAATTCCTGTTTCTGTGGGTGGTTAAGCATTCCAATGGATTTTCCTGTATCTCTAGGGGTAAAGGCACAAACAGATAATTTGCTGGAATAAGATTATCTGTCAGTGAAACTGAGGTGAAGGTGAATACAGAATATTAATAGCTTGTTAATATAGAGCAGGGACCAGTAAATTGCATTACTCTGAAACGGCTGTTAGGGAAATCAAGACTTCCCAGTACTGCTTGTCGGTGGGGACAGACAGGCCATGTCCCCTAATTAGTGCCTGTCTTTTGAAGCTCTGAATGTGATCTATTGCCGAGCCCCCTTTCCTTGCAGGATGTCCTGCCATAAGACATAATTGTTGGGAGCTAGTGTCTAAGTTATGTGGATTTGACTATGAGAAAATGGTTTCTTTGACTGTGTGAATACTTTCACACCAGGGCCCCATAGTGTGAGGGAAGGAATCCAGTATACCAGTATACCTGAGAGTGGTACCCACTATTTTTTTTAAAACACTGCTGGTGTTTTGTGGGACAAAATCCATTACGGTAATGGGGAGCACTGTAGTTTCACAAGGGTTTTATAGAAATGATAGTGACTATACAAAAGGCAGGAATCACCAAAGCTCTGCAAATTGGATTTCCTACAATGGAATTCATGATGATCCTGGTGGTTCAGCCACATGATTTTGTCAGCTGATATATCCCAGTATAATGCTGTGGCCTGAAACAAGGGAGACCTCAGGTTCAGTTCCCAACACCCACATGGCAACTGACTGTAACTTCAATTAAAGGGGCCTCCTGCCCACATGTGGTACATATAAATTCATGTAGGCACACACATAAAAATAATAAATCTTTTAAAAACTTTTAAAGATTATCAAGAGAGGATTTCCTGAGGCTAAGCTGACAGACCCCCAAAGCCTCTCAACCTTTGTTCAGAGAACACCGACACCAGAATCCAAACTGCTAAGGTAATAGTCAAGTTGCATCAGCAGTTTTTAAACTTAGAGACAACTGGACTTCAACAAACAAGGCATAATCTCATCATTAAAGAAAACCAATATTTTTCAAAGTCATATTTGCTGACAGAGTTCCAACCATAAATTATGCCAAGAGTCTGCTTACAAAGGCATAGTTTAATGGGAACATATTTTTTTATCAGTACAAATTTCATTTACCCTGTAATGTGAAACATAAAATTATGTTTGTTTTGAGGAGATAACGAACTCAAGAAAGAAGCAGGTACTTAGGTTTTATCTTATTTCAACATTGTATAATATGGTATATATTATTTTGTTCATTGTGCCATAGTATGAATTAAAACTGAGAAAGATTAAGTTATAGTGATATATTTTATGATCTAATAAAGTTTTCCTGGATCATAATATAAATCTAGTCACAGTCATAAAGCCCAGGAGGTAGTGTTACACATCTTTAATTCCAGCAGTCATACCAGTTAGCCATAGAAGCTGTGCAGTGGTGGTGTATGCCTTTAATCTCAGCACTAGAGAGGTAAATAAGACAGAAGTGTCTCAGAGCATGCATTTAGTCTCCAGCAACAATGAGGACAGCATCCCCCTTCCCGCCATGGTAGAGATAAGGGCTTTCTGGTGGCTTGGCTGCTTTGTTTCACCGATCTTCAGCTTGAACCCCAATATCTGTCTCTAGGATTACAGTCTTCTTGTTACATTAAGTAACTGTACGTGGTCATGCAGCCATTCAATGGGAGAATTCGGTTTTAAATACAACAATAACCCAGGAGGTTCTGTTCTTATTAACTCCCCTACAACCCAATCAAAATGTTTTTAACATGAGTAGAGGATTTTTAAACAGAGAAAGAGGAATAAACAATGATGTATACCTCCAGAGGTGTCTGCCTGGCAGGCACACTGAAGAAATTGGCATGGATTTCTTTCAACTATGGAACTACAGGTGTAGCTCAGGATGGAGTGAGTAAGGGGTGACTACAGCTCTCTCCTTGTCTACTAGTATTTGATGGATGAGCTGGTAAATGATTGATTTGGGGATTAGTGCTTTTTTGTGTCATTTCTATTTTTGTTGTTTTTGGTGTGGCATATGAGTTACTCTGCATTTCAGATATTTATATTGCAAATCACAACAATAGCAAAATGACAGTTATGAAGTAGCAACAACATAGTTATTTTGGTTGGGGGGTCACTATAACTTGAAGAATTTTATTAAGGGTTGCAGGGTTAGGAAGGCTGAGAGTCATTGTTCTAGGAGATCATGAAGGAAATTACTAGAACATACTAGAGAGAGATCATGTTAGCTTACTACTAAGATGACTGGAATGAGAGATATTTAGAGAGAAACTACATGGTGTTTAGCAAGTGTGAAAGTTCAGGATTAATTTGTAATTTTCTCTCTCTTTACATAGAAAAATGTAGAGTTATTGTGATAAACACTATGATCAAAGCAGCTTGTGGAGGAAATGATTGTCGTCCATCATGAAGGGAAGCAGGGACAGGAAGTCAGTTTGAGAATCTGGAGTCAGGATCTAAAGCAGAGGCCATAGAGGAGCATTGCTTCCTGGTTTGTTCCCTGTAGATTGTGAGCCTGACTTCTATGACTCAGGACCACCTGCTCAGGTGGCACTTCCATAGTGAGTTGGGCCTTCCTGAATCATTTTCAAGAAAGAGACCCAGAGGGTTGTCTCCAGGCCAATTTAATAGGGGCATTTTCTGACTTGATGTTTCCTTTTTCCAAATAACTCTGACTTGTATCAAGTTGAAACTAAAACAAAAAATTAACCAGGACTTTTATTAATGAAGGTAAAACAAATAAATTCTGCAGGAGAAACAGAACAAAAATAAGCCGCGCTGCCAGTGCTCTGAGAGCTGATGCCGGTATCCCTGTGTACAGGATGGTGTAAGGTGATGTGTACACTGTAGACTTACATGAACGGATGCTGGATTAATGAGAGTTGGGGCTAGAAAGCACATACAGAACAAAGGTTTGATCCTTTGTGATCTAGGCCAGACTTGCTTGTATCTTTCTTGTCCTCTTCTTTCCTCATTATTCATACTTTTCTATATGTCTTTTCATGAATAGTTTTATGAATTTTGTTCAGAACTTTCCTCCTTGCAATATCTGTATCATAATTCATAAAACTATTCATGATAAGATTATATATGTATATATATATTTACATACATATGTTTACATCTGTCATTTTATAAATAAAAATGAATTGTGTTGGCAGTTCATATGGTTCAATTGAATGGTACTGATGTGACTGTTGACATTAATTCTTTTTTACCCAAAGCATAATTACTGGTTTTAAATCATAGAATTTAAAAATACTTTAGCCATGATAGTGAAAGTGAATCATGAAAAACTAGATGGTTAAAGATGTGCTTAAGAGCCTGGCGAGGCCTCCGTGCCTAATAGTGTAAAGATGCTCCGAGAGGAAGGTTATGTTCCTAGCATCCACATCAGGCAACTCACAACCACCTATGACCCCAGTTCCAGGAAATCTGACCCCTTTTCACTCCTCTACATGCACCTGCACACACTCAGTGGTCTCACACACACACACACACACACACACACACACACACACACATGAATTAAAAAAACTGAAAACAGTAACAAAAGAAATACTAAAATTCAGGTTATTACATGTGCCTCTGTAGGTTATATGGCAATTCCTGGCTTTGTCTTTCATAATTCAT